TGACCAATCACAGCCCATCGCGTATTTCTGAGGGAGGGGCTTCATAAAAACAGGAAATAATCGAGGCGTTTGTTAGAAAAGGGACAGATCGGTGTGGAATAAAGGTAAATTATGTGAAAAATAATGCGTTTTTTAAAAAACGAAGCATGAACACATGTTAGACTGCACCCCATAAACACAATCAAGCCTAGCAAAAACCCAGTCAACCACCCCTTTAAACTAATATACACAAACTAAAATCAATCAATCAATCAATAAAACTACTATACAAACTAAAATAAAAAGTAATAAAATAATACAAACTAACATGCAAACTAAAACTATGATTTTATTTATTAGTTTATGGTTTTATTTATTAAACTAGTATATGCAAACTAAAATAAATAAGTAAACAAACAAACAAATAATCTAATAAGATCATCAAACTAATATACACACTTAAAATACAAATATATTCACTATAATACTCACAACGCTTATTTTCTTAAACATAAAATTGTATAATTGAATAATTAAAAAAAAAATTAAAACAAAGATAATCTAGAGTATTCTTTTTACTTTGTAATGTGTTAAACATACAGTATTTTACAGTGGAAGTATTTCACTGAGAGTTGAACTGAGGTGGGGCAGGGAAGAAATCATATAAAATAATAAAGAAATGTAATCAATTTAAATAATATAAAAAAACAACTTCCTATTTTCTTATTAAACTATGGGGTCTATCAATCAAGCCAGACTCACGCGGTCACTTTCAACTAAAAACAACCTTGAAACTCCCTAGATTTTAATCAGTTTACAAAGAATAATAGAAATACTTAATGAATTGTGAGGCCATTAAAATAACTACTCCAGTTCATAAATAATTCAGGCATGCTGGTGGTCCCTAAATTCAGGCTCGCTGGCCAAAAATCACTCATGTCATTTTGGTTTCTAGATTAATATTGAATTACAAGGAGAGAAAGCAAGCTCTTAGGGAGGCAGTGTGGTCTAGAAAGTACATCTCCATAACAACAAAATCAGCCCAGGTAATTGCATTTTGGACGTGTTGTGCATGGGCTAGTATTAAGGATCTAGAAATGTTGGTTCACTCTGAACAGAACACCTCATGCGATTAATCCCTCTTCCCTCAATCCATGAAACACGATTGAGACTGGCAATTTTCATCGCTGGGTACAAACTCTTTCAAGAGACACGTTCGAAGTGATCCACAAAAAGGGTTCTTGTGTAAGTCACTGCAATTAACCTTTGGGTGACATTCTGTGAGCTTAATAGCTCAGAACACTGTAATGGTCGCACCCTACCTTGCAAATTGGAAGCGTTTTATACTCACTTTATCTTTTGGGGTTAAAAGGTCAACATGTTCACAGTCAGAGACTATGACTCTCTTTCTGTTTCAAACAGATATAATTCACATCACTAATTTATCTATCAAATCACCTGGCTAGCATCAGCACGTTTTGTAATTGCACTTGAATGGCTGTTGGTTAGTAGTATTACCACATTTCAATTAAGATAATTAGGTTAGAATACATAGTTTAAACACAATTAGTTATATATATTTTAGTTTACACACTGTATATATATATATATATATATATATATATATATATATATACACACACACACACACACACACACAAATGAACAGTATACAAGAAGCAGTACAAGCCAAGCAATTCAATATAGTAAGAAATACTATCAGGCAATTCAAAAATAGACACTTTAGTAAGCAAATAAGTTTTGCATGCAGTCTATAAATAGAAGATTTAATTTTCCCCCTTTTCCATTCACTGTGCTGCAGTAAATCAAGCCTGTGCTTTAATACATATGCATGACTCTCCCATCCTTCATAACTTTGCATTTCTTTTCTTTGTCGGAAAAAAAAAAAAAACATCACCAAGAACGGGGTGTTGACAAATTACAATGCCAACGTAAAGCTTGAAATGTCCGTTTGATACCCAGCTTGCTTGTCTATGATATTCAGATGTTTCTCTTTGAGAAAGCAATAACAGAACAGAACCAGCAGGAGACTCCGAAAATATCACCAGCCTTAAAATGAATGTGCTACGTTTATCTGTAATGCGTTTTCTGTTTCCAACATCCATGAATTCCCACATTGCAGAAATGTGGGTCAGATTCTTCTCTCAGTGCTGGAGATGAGCCTAAACTAGCTTAAACGTAATGTCAGAAACATGGGGCTTAGATTCTCACGAGCTTTTGTATTACGAGTTTAATGTAAATGTGGCAAATGCACACAATAGGCTTATGTAACCACAACTTTCATTTACATAAAGAAGCCATGTAATAAAAATTTTAGTTTTGTGACTTTTAGTTCATGTTTATTAGCTCTGAGGCCAACAATATTCCAGCATACTACTGAAATATGACAAAAACATGGATATGCAAAAATCTAAAATAAAATCATATTGACTTTACAGGGGCCTAAACAAACACTGTAAAAAATAAGTGTAATTTTAACTGTACTTTCTGTATTTTTTACAAAATTATTCTGGCAACCACAGCTGCCAAAATTATTTTGTAAAAACTACAGAATTTTTTTTACAGTGAATGTTCTGTCAAATAAAATGATTTTTAGAATGAGACTGTCGCTCCCCATTACATCATCTGAAACTGGCTAGCATTAGCAAATAGCAAATGGTTCACTAAACAAAAGATATAAACAGAAAATGTCACAGGAAAGAAATGCATTTGTCAAACAGTTTTATGGGGTCTTAAAGTGAAAAATAAGTTGTTAAATGAGCTTGGACAGAAATTCATTACAATGTGTTACAAAACTAAACGCCCACTTAATCTTATAAATGAGTTTAAGGCCTATGAGTGCACAACTAGTAAATATTAGACTAATTATATCAACAAACTTTCATGGAATCATCACTTTCATTGGTGTTTAATCACAGTAAACATTCAGAAAAGTCTTACAACCAAATTGAATACCAATATGGACAACAAATTAAGTGTCCAGACTGCTTTGACAGTGAACATTGATTAATGCGCTGTAAGACAACAGCTAGAAGACAAACATGTAAGAACAATTGATTCTAGGTGATAAATGCTAACAAAATAAAACTCAAAAAGACCCCATGTAATTAAAAATCAAAGTTTGAATGTCTTTTAGTCCATATCTGTGAGCTCTGAGGCCAATTAAGTTTGTCCAGACTAAGCGGCTCACTGTGTCCATAGACAAATATGCAAGAATATTTGATTTTAGATGAGAAAATGCCATCAAAATAAGTGTCCAAAAGTCTCTCACATAATTAAAATACTCCAAAAAGTTGACATAATAAGCTTTTACAAGATGGACCAAAATGACTTGTTCACTGCAGTCTTTATAGTTTCTTTGTTCAATAAAATGCTTCCTAGAATGAAAATGTCCCTTTGCCTAATACTATCTCTTACATAGTCTACAAATTAAGTGTGTCCAGTCAGTTCTGACACTAAGCGCTGATTAACAACCGCCCTACCGTGACCAGACAAAAGTCAGAAGACAGATATATAAGAATGTTTCATTCTAAAATAGTACAATGGAAGACAAAATTCCCTGTGATGACCTATTGAATTTAAACTACTGCAAATGGAGATTTGAGTCTCCGACAAGCGTTAAACCCGATCCTAGAATATCCCATGGGATTGTCCACTTATTCCACTGGAGCTGTGTAGCATTCCAACCCTGACAACTTGAGAACCTGAGCATGAACATCTATAGTGAGCCACAGAGAAAGAAAACAACAGCCTAGCGTGTCATGAAATGCTGAATTAGCCAATTATCCAGCCTGTCAACTGTAGAGATTCCACTAGCCCAAAAAATTATTTTTTATCAAACTCAGAGGCTCCTACAAAACAATAAAATTCACTTTCACCTTCAACAAACCTCTATTAAAATGTTACATTCATAACACTGATACAATGTCTTGGAAATGCATCATAAATTCAATATGTGCTAATAATAAAAATGTCATGTTCTTGTTCCAAAAGTAATTACTAGTTCTGTTTTCTATTAGATAGAGAAAATACTGCATCATATTTGAGGTCAACAAATTAATGCAAGACACATTTAGTTTGACATTGAACAGTCGTTTCCACAGGAATCAGTGTGACATCTGAAGCAGCAGGCGGCACAAAATGCAACACCACAAATTCATCAGTTAACACCTACTGCAAGAAGCTCTGTTGCTCAAAGAGCAATAAATTGAAGAACAGACATTTGTCTGATCAATTTCATATGCATAGTCTACTATTCCAGTTGCAACGCAGGCTACAGTAATGCAATGGTTGTGCAGGATAATTTGAAAAAAAAAAAATCAATAAAACCACAGTCTCATTTCCTACTGGATTTGGAAAAAAAACAATGCCACAATTTTGGCAGCAGCCGCATTAATTATGTAGATAGAAAAGCAGAAATTCCTCAGAAGTTAGTCCTATAGGAGTTTGATTTATTGGCTGCTTGTTCTCAAAAGGTATTCTAAGGTTTCCACCCCAAACTAAGCAAGAGGTTCTTGTCGAGAAATGTCTCTATTCCAAAACACAACAAACTAATTAGGCTAATGACCTTAAAGACCATTTGTCCTCTACAAACATATCATCAGCTGTTCATTTGTATGGATTCCAATCATTCTTGCAGTGGCTTGAATCTCTATGTGACACAAGGAAGGGAACATGGCACACTTCACAGAGAAGCCAAAAATCAGGATAATAATATTAGTAACAAAATAATAATAACAAAAAAACAATAAACTAAAGCCTACTACAAATTATATATAGGCAAATATTTAATGTTATTAAAAAATCATGAGAAGAAAACTGCCATAAAGCAATTTTAGAAAGCTGTACTGAATACCAGAGATCGTAAGTTGTAATGCACATGCACACTGTCATCTCTTTTAAAAGAAAAATCTATTAAATGTCACTGAACAAAGAACTGGGCAATTTTGTGTTATTAAAGAAAAAAAATCAATATGTTGTTGATGAAACCCATTCCTTACCATGTCTCCTTTATCTCCCTTTTGTCCAGAATGTCCTGCCAAACCCGGAAGCCCTTGATCCCCCTTTCAAATACACATAAGTCACAATATGCAATGTTAATATGCTAAATCAGCTCTCTGTATCGGGTCTAAAATGCTGTGATCAAAATTCAAAGAGGAGTCCTAGCCTGAACTCTGGCTCTTTGTACTTCAGAAGAGATTAGCTGAACATCACCCACTGATGAAGTGCATGTCTGTGCCCAAACACCCCCTTATTTGTGCTAAATTGCTTCTAATAAGCTTTTATTTCTGCCTCTGGCTGTCATCCAGGTATACAGACTGCCATAAATGTGCTTTAATTGGCCATTCATTTTGCATGCGGCATTACCTCAAGATCCATTGTGGAGTGCTAACTCACTCATTTAAAAAATGCTTTCATGGTTTAACTTTACCTTCAGAGCAGGACAGTGGCATCGGTCGGTGGGCAGCTGGGCTGGCATGGACAGCATTCTGTGGAGGTATCCTGTGACCAGTGGGGCCGCTGTGGGGTTGTGGGTCACTACAGGTTCACACTGGTCAGATTAAAAATAAAAACATGGACTACTGTTAAATTATTAAAATATAGACCAAGATAATCAATTATCCACTTGGAATTCCTTGAAGATGGGATTTATGGGGATTTTCTACATTATGAATGCATGGTATACGCATACAAATCTTCTTGTGAAATGCATAACTCTGGCAAACTGAGATACATAAAATATATCAGTTGGTTCTGTAAAGTCATTAATATGATCAAAGATGTGGGCAAAAAAAATAACAGCATTAGAGCTCAATTTTGATGACTTTGGGAGCAGCATTTGCACTCTTTCTTCAGTCTTATTTTTTTTTGTTACTTTTAGTGAATCAAAACGGCAAGAAATTTAATTAAAAGGTCTGTCAAGAATTGCACAAATACACTACCGTTCAAAAGTTTGGGTTCTGCAAGGCTGCATTTATTACAGTAAAAACAGAATTATTGTGAAATATCACAATTTAAAATAAGTTTTTGTTTTAATACTTTTCAAAATGTAATTAATTCCTGTGATGGCAAAGATGAATTTTCAGCAGCCATTACTTCAGTGTCACATGATCCTTCACAAATCATTCTAATATGCTGATTTGTTGATCAAGAATCATTTCTTACTAACATCGATGTCGAAAAAAGTTGTGCTGCTTAATATTTTATTGGAAACCTTCATACATGTTTTTACCAAATACAAGCATCGCTTTTGATCAATTTAATGTGTCCTTTCTTTAATAATAAAAAAAACAATTACTGACCCCAAACTTTTGAAGGGTATTGTTTAAATAAAGTAGTTTCAATAAACTAATAATATATAATTAAATGAAATTAACTTTATCTTATCATTTGGCAATGTAACTGGGTTTCTTTCTTCTTTCTTTCTTTCTTTTTTTAAATTTCTTAAGTCACACAAGAATTTTTAATTGAGCCATGGAAGGAACCTGAATTGTTAAGAGGAAACAAAACTGTAATCTCAATTTTTCCATCCCTACTCATACCCCTGTAAAATTAGCTCAGTAAACTGCAGCCCCTCAAGAGTTGGTGCCCTAGGAAATCATCTGTGTTGCCTAATTACATGACCAGCCCCAATGGCCACTTGGACCGTTCCACTTCCATGTGGAAAACACTAAGAAAACATTATCCCAAACGCTAAGAGAGGGGATTAGCACACAACTGTAGAGACCATGTACCAATTACAGCATTGAGCAGGAATGTGGATTTTCTCTAATCCAATCGTTTAAGACAGAATGTAGCCTTTAATTAATCAGAAATTATTGACCGGAACAACTCGAGCTAAAAGGATGCCCTCAAGGGCTTTGTCCACAGTGGAAACGATCCATCCAAGAACAATACATGATATGGCTCTATTCCAAAATCTACATCTTTGCCTACATGGATGGCATTTTAAGATTGTTTCAAAAGGTAGAATAAAAGGCCGAATTCAAAGGCAGAACTGCATGTATCCTTTGCAGAGAAGGAAATCCCATAATGCACTGCAATGAGATCAGTGAAAAACAACTGAAAATAGTAGATTAAACAAGAGAAAGTTGATTAAACTTAAAACTTAAGTCTGTTTCTCAAACTAAACTATCCTACGGCTTCAGAAAATATGGAATATAATGCAAATAGACTACTTTTATAGTGTTTTTCTGTTCTTTTGGAAACTTGACTCATTAAAAATTGACTATTTAATTCAATTTCTGTGCACAATGTATTTTTATGCTTATTAGTATATCACATCATCAGCTGAGCAATATGTTAACAACAAATTCTATCAAAATCAATTGTGGGTTGAGTTTGTAATTGATCAGTTGTGTCAGGAGGAGTACTATTTGTATGACACACACATGGTTGCTGCCTATATAGAGCGCTCCAGATCGGTCACTCATGAGCCCTTATGACAGCAAGGCAGCTCACTTGACTTTGGAACGGAGTCTTTGAAAACTAACTATACCTCACATGTTACGTTATTCAATAGCAGTGTTGAAATGTGACTGGCCTGTTCAGATTTGATTTGATAATTATGTCAAGCCCCTAATTTTAGTGCAAAATTATAGGCTGATTAGGAAGGATCATCGAGTCTGTATCATTAACACTGCCACACCATAAACCCGAACATCTTACCATAACTCCAGGAGAATCGCAGCATCTGTCCAGGTCGGCTATTCTAGCATCACAGAAGATCAGAATCTCCTGAAGTTCAATCTGTGAAGGTAAATTGACATTTATGGACATGAACACACGTACCTGATAAATGAATTAGTACACCATTCAGTTTTCACTTGCATCAGGTTCAGACAAAGTTAGTGAAGTTCCCTCAAAATATAAGTGGTTTCCACCATAGTTTGACAGGGCTTTAACAATCACTAACTGTAATAAAAGTACTAAGCTTTGCATTCATACTCCGGTTTAGCAAGTGATGAGAACCTCCATCCACAACTCACATCCACTGGACGTCCATCCTCCACTCGAGTGGTGATGAATGTGCGTCCACTCACGTTCATGCCAGACCTTTCAGCGGTCACCTGACGCTCAATTAATTTGCAGTCCAGGTAGATAGAGACCGCATTGCTCTCGACAGACACACCAAGCTTGTGAAACTGTCGATCGAAGAGGGCGTGCAGATCTCGGTTCTTGAACACGTAGAGGAGGCTGTTTTTCAGAAAACCCTGAGCCAAAAACTCTACTGTTTTTTTAGCTCCATCCACTATTAGTGACACCTAAATGAAGGAGAGAAGAAGGGATGAACATTAGAGGCTCATTAAGACTGTTAATGAGATAAGCTGACTGAAGTCTGAAGCGATCACTGTGTGCAAGAGAGTAGCATTTATATAATGATCATTTTGCCCATCTTGCAGGAGTTATTGGTTTTGAACATACTCTGATTGATCAATGTCTTTTTTACAGATCTAAATAAAATCTTGGATTTTTTCACATACCTGTGTATCTCCACCTTTATCAAAGATCTGCAGAATAAACCAGCGATCTTTCTTTGTGGTTTTTCTGAGCCGTAACGTGGCAATAATGGAGTACTCATGAGAAAGTCCATTTGGGAACACAGATCTTTACAAAAGATAGACAACATCAACATCTACAATTAAAATTGATCAAAATAAAAAGTAGAACAAAAACAAATACACGACCGTTTACCAATTAAGGCTGCATTTATTTGAATAAGTCACAGGGAAAACATTGAAACTGTGAAGTATTACAATTTCAAATTACGGTTTTCTTTTTAAATATATTTTATATTTATTCCTGTAAAGCAAAGCTGAATTTTCAGCATCATTACTCCAGTCTTCAGTGTCACATGATCCTTCAGAAACATTCTAATATGCTCATTTGCTGCTCAATAAACATTCTTTTTGAGAATGTTGAAAACTGCTGTGCTGCTTAATATTTTTTGTGGAAACTATAATGCATTTTATTAGGATTCCTTGATAAATAAAAGGTCACTTTAATTTAAAGTATCCTTTTTCAATTTATTGAAGTATTAATTTTAAAAAATCTAACTGACCCCAAAACGAGTGTATATAGAAAGAGACCAGTAAATGAATGACAATAAATGAATAAGTGAATTGTTTTTAATTGGCACATGAACGGTCCAAACTAAATGACTCAATAAACAAATCAGACTTCCTAACACTGCATATGAGAGAACAAGAATGTTCTAGAAAAGCATGTTTAAATAATGCTTTAATTTAGCAGTAAAGTGCTATTTTAATTTAACACTTCAATAAGCCAAGTGCATTGGCATCAATGTTCTGCTCTGTATTTTTCCTCTTTAGTCTTGCCTGTAAGATTTATCAGAAAACACTGTAAATGTGTCCTTTCATAAACAGAGATGATTCTGTCAATCGTCTGAACAAAATACTGCAGCAGTGACTTGAAGCGAACTCATGGTACAAGAAATAATGCTAAAGCTTCTATAGGGTCATAAAAATTGTTGAAAGAGTAATATTACATTTTTGACAACACTGTAAGGGTTACAGAAAGAATTATTTCTTTTACACTATATTTGGTAATTTACTGGCATTTCATCAAACACGATCAGCAAAACTGACAATGGGAAAATCTCATGTATGAATACTTTAAAAGGACAGAAGAAAACGAGAGAGAGAGAGAGAGAGAGAGAGAGAGAGAGAGAGAGAGAGAAAGACAAAGACAAAGACAAAGAGAAAGACAGAGAAAAAAAAAGAGAAAGAGAAAAAGACAGACTTGCAAGAGACATGCTGAAAATGAGTTTCTTCTCAAATAGATCATTCTCTATTATTCTCTCTAGGCACGTCTGCAGAGCATGTCTCCTGCCTTCACAGGCACAGTGGGGAAAATGCACATTATTAAAAATGATATATACTCTGACTGTACATACTGTCAAGATCAACTGCTTTTGGATAAGAGGAAGACACAGGAAAGAGGCTTATGGGGAAACTAGTACAGATGTATTACAAGACGATGGCCGGACTATTGACCACACAATTTTCAAACGTATTTGGTTGTAATCTACTCTAAATATCGTTCAAGTCATCACTTACTCACACTCAAGATACAGTGGAACAAAAACGTCAGTAGATGTGAGCATGTTCAGTGAATAATGCCATAAACTTCAGTCTGTTTCTCCAAAAATATCATATGGCTTTAAAAGATATGGCATGTTCATACAATGAAAGATTATTCTTAAAGCATCTCATGTGCATTCCACACAAGAAAGTCAGTCTTCTTGGAACGGCTTGACGATTTTATAGAAATTCAATCTGACATTTAACTTGATAAGGAAAGAGGCAATAACAGGTTCAAAATGAGAGAACAAAGACTTTTTTGGAATTGCTGAGTAATATATTTCATGAATTCAGCCTTAAATTAGATTTGATATGACCAGCCGGTGGGATGGACTTGTGTCAAGTGAGACCGCATAAGTGAGTGCAGTGTTTCGGAATGTTTTTTTTTTTAATTCACCATTATAGTGATTAGCGTTCCCTTTGGTTGGGCACTTTGAACTTGGTTTATGTTACTATAATTTCCTTCCTGTTAATGCATTAATGCATTATTAAGTCTGAGTTATTTGATTTCAAAGGAAGAAAAGTAATAAATAGGTTGCGTTTAGAAAGTGATCTATCTTCTAATTAAAGCATTGGTGCATTTATTGTGTGTTTATTAAAGAATTTTATCAAATTTCATTTTTCATAAATACCATAAGATGCTTTTATTTGGGTTTATATAATCCTTAAATAGTGTGTGATAATATGCAGAAGTCAAACACAGACTTAAACATTCAGCACGCGAATCACAACAATGGTAACAATTCAAGTTCATTTTCATTACTTGTAACAATAACCATTTTATTTGCTCTTTTTTTTGTGCTACTACTGACACAAGACAGCAAATAAAATTGTCAAATAAAATCAACAACTGTAAAACAAAGCAACTGTATAATTTATTCATACCGCAATGCACTCTGGGAGTCAGTGAGTAGCTATACTAAGTCATGAGTAAACCTAAATGAAAGGATCAAGTACCCCCTACAGTTCTTTTTTAGTTACTAGAACTCTCGTGTAAGTAAGCTATACTAACTAAGCATTTGTCAGTACAACATACTATTCCTATTTCACTTTACTTCGTTTTTTCAAGGCAATCGGTTTGCATGCTTTTTTTAAGTAAGCCCAACTAATTAGATTTTACAGTGTGGGGGCTTTTTGACCCCCTTCTCCACCCCCCGACACATCCAGCTGACTAATGCCATCACCTGTCAGAGTTCAGCTTAATTGAGGTCTGGTGGGGTGTGTGTGAGTGTGTGTCTGTATGGGGGTCCATGTAGACAACTAGACATTCTGATCCCTCAGAAGTGCACTCCACCTCCAGCCAAGGAGACTCACAATTGGCCCCTGAGGGCAGGTCTGAGCAGCAGATAGAAGGCCCCACAGTAGGCCGCTGACCACCAAGCGTCGGATAGAGCAACAGATCGCAAATCATCTGACCCATGGCTCCTTCAGGTTCCAAGGGAGCAAACAGTGTGTTTACAGTTGTATAAAAAAAACGCTAAATATATCCTCCCTTTCCCTGTGCAGATGACTAGGTGTTATTTTTCACTGGTGAAACGCGTGGAAGCAGAATCTTTACGGCCAAACCAGCAGGTGTGCTTAAAACCACAGAGAATAATCAGTTAGACTAAACTAAAGACTATGATGAAACACAAAAGAACAAATGACTTAGTGCGCAATGTACAGTGTATATAGTGGCCCCGAAATCTTGGACACTTAAAAATGGATTAATCTTACTGCTTTCGATAACAAATTATCAAACCAAGCGACATTTGCAAAAACAAATTACGCCAGACCTTTTCTCAGAGCCTCTTCTGGTGATTGCATTTAACTAACTGGACTCAGGGACATTTTAACTGGATTTATGTAGTAGTTCTCCTCAAGTTTCCACAGATGTAGCCCATCACATTAACTAGGAACATACTGAAAGTGTCCAAAAGCTTCGCAACTTAAAGCAATAAGCAATGAGATGCTGTGTGGTACAGTGATTTTAATCACAGGAAAGGGTAAAAAAAAAAAAAAAGACTGTTCAAATCAATTAATACTTTTATTCAACAAGGATGCATTTAATCGATCAAAAGTGACAGTAAAGAGATTTACAGTTTAATGTTACAAAAGATTTCCATTCCAAATAAATGCTCCACTTTTGAACTTCCCATTTAAAGAATCCCGAAAAATGCATCAAAAAAAAAAAATTAAGCAGCATAACAGTTTTCTTTTCAACATTGATTATAATAAGAAATGTTCCTTGAGAACCAAATTAGCATAGTAGAATCATTCCCGAATGATATGACACTGAAGACTTGAGTAATGGCTGCTGAAAATTCAGCTGTGGCACCACAAGTATACATGTATATTACACTTTACAATCGAAAATATTTTTTTAATTATTATTTTAATATATTTAAATATATGTATCACTGTATTTTTCATCAAATAAATGCATCCTTGGTGAACAAGGTTCATCAAAAACATGAAAAAAAAAATCTTACTGCCCCAAAACCATCAATGTTCAATAGACTGTAATTTAGGTCATTATTTAGCTTTAGCAAATTTATCTGAATATTACAAGTGTTTACAACATTTACATTCTGCTTGTGAAATGTGCCTGTGCTGTATTTCTTAAATGAATGTCATTAGGTTTGATACATTGTGTTCAAATAATTTTTGGTGCCACTGTCCATTTGGTCTTGCTATAAAAAACAAATGATAACTCTGAACTCGAAAATAACCACTGGAATGAAAAAAAACTATATTATTAAATCATTCAGGAAAAAATCATTATAGTCAAAAAATATGAAATTAGTAATGTTCACAGCATCACAATGAAGCAAAAAGCGTAAACACGTCCTATTTCTTCTGAGAAGGCATTATGTTTAATGTAATTTGCATTTTTTGCATTTAGCAGATGCTTTTATCTGAAGACTTGCATTGTATTAAACTATCATTTCATACATTTCCTGAGAATCAAACCCAAGACCTAGGCGTTGCTAGCACCATGCTCTAATGTTTGAGTTACATGAATGTAATGATAACTTTTTTTTTTTTTTTACTTTTTGTCAGATGTTTTTAGTACAAACACCACGCTTTTATGTTTGTGGCATAATTATCATAAGTCATGGCGCCACCCTATTTTGTTTACATTTCACTGTGACGTATGACCGACTGGAACGCTTTGAGGTCGGAAGTGGGGAATTTCAACTCTAGTCTTCCCACCCTTGACTTAGTCTGGAACTCGCCACAATCCCACCAGCTTTTCAGCAAAATACAAAAGAGTTCTTTTGAGCATCAATTTGAGCTCTTTGGACTCATGAATATGCTGTGGGTTCATGTGGTTTGGACAGCTGACCTTCACGGAACACGGCCTACATAACTGTACATGTCCAAGGCTGTTAGAAGTAGATTAAACATACCTGAAAATTCTAACTAACACAGAAGCCTTCTTTGAACTCGGTGTCACCCTTGAGCTATAAGTTATTAAAGTCATTTTAAGGCAATTAATATACAGGACATGATTCCCCATTACTGCTTGATTTCTCTTCTAGGCGGTACTCCATTACAGTCACCTCTCTTTCTCCTTGGTCGAGCCCACTGCCCACGGTCTGCAAATTAATTTTGTCCAAATTATTTAACATGTCTCACGGCTCACCTCACAGTTTATTCTTATTAGCCAATGCGAGGGGAATTATCTCAGCAAGCTCGTGATATCTGGGTCTTTCCATGTCAACACACCATTAAAAGCATACAAGACATCTCCTGAGTTTTCTACTGGATGTTAGTTGAAGTGAACGCAAGCTTACACCATGGGAAAATATTGGTTTGTGTCGCAGAAACCCAATAACGGCCTGGCCTATTTTTTAAATCTTGAGTGGTATAAACTCATGAGAACCGCTCCGAGAATGCAGTTGTTCAGCGAGGCAACCTGCACTCTGTCCCGTACAGAGATTTATATGGGAAGCTGTCAGAAAGGCTAACCAAAACACGCAACATGTGGATGTGGGCATTAATTCAAACTACCATCATAACATGCTCATCACAGCAGTGATTCTGCAAGGAACTGTCCTACTTTCTACTCTCCAGATGCTAGAAGATTCTGCACATCGTTGATCACGTCCAAACTACATAAACATCCTTATGGATACCACATTTGCTGCAATAACTTTCAGCTTAGTTAACATTGTTTTCAGACAAAACAATCCTCTGAATGATGTGTGAGTGGAAAATAAATGGCACAATATCAAAACCACATCAACATTTGCAGAACTTACTCTGTTGGTTTAAACAATGGTTTACTCCCCAGTCTCAACAACAGCCCGTTGTCCGTCACCGTGCCTTTTCTGAGAAGAAACTTCTCAGCTAAATCAAACCCTGTAAACAAGAGAAGAAAAAGACAAACATACATTACATTTATGCATTCGCCAGACACTTTTATCCAAAGCAACTTACAGTGCATTGTGTAAACATTTTGGGAATTGAAAACATGACTTTAGCGCTGTTACCTCCATGTTCTGCTAAAGGAACAACATTAGCTCTAGGCTAAAGAGATTTTCAGTAAATGTTGTCCTGTTGAACACACATGTGGGGTCTTTTATGTGGAATGATTAGTATTAGCAAGGCAACACTATTGTTATTTCTCAAAAATGTTGGTTTGGGGCTTGTTCTAAACGTCTGCAATTAGTACAGCCTCCATTCAAACTGTTTTGTAGGTGATTTTTTTAATACACTTCATACATACTTTCAAACTAAAGTTTGACAATCTCCTAGTGTCTGACTGAATTAGCACTGACAGCAATTAACATTCAAATCTAACCTACATTGATGATGGCATTGTGGTATTTGCATATCAAATTGTGATTTTCCTTGCATTACCTTGCATTCATTTGTATATTAAATAGTGATTGGTATTTTCTTTCTTGCTATCTATTTAACTATTAACACTACAGTGCAAAAGCTTGGGATTTATTTATTTTTTATTAATATTTACTCAGTAAGGATGCATTAAATTGATCAAAAGTGACAATTGAAAAAAAGTTATATTTAAATGATTCTATTTCAAATAACTGCCGTTCTTTTGAACATCCTATTCATCAAATAATCCTGAGAAATTGTATCACGGTTTCCACAAAAATCTCAAGCAGCACTACTGTTTTCATCACTGATAAAAACAAGAAATGTTTCTTGAGCAAATGAGCATAGAATGATTTCTAAAGGATCATGTGACACTAAAGACTAAGGTATGGGCTGCTGAAAATTCAGCTTTGCAATCACAGGAATAAATTACATTTTAAAATATTTGACAATACAAAACAGTTATTTTAAACTGTAATAATATTTCACAATTTTACGGTTATTACTATATTTTTGATCAAATAAATGCAGCCTTGGTGAGCATAAGAGATATTCAAAAAACATTTAAAAGCATCTTAACCCCAAACTTTTGATAGGGTATATCCATCTTTACACCTTTCATCTGTAAAGTTGCAAAGACTAAAGTCTCAAATCCAAAGAGATATTCTTTATAAAAGTTAAGAGTCAGCCACACCTACCTAAAACGGCTCGTTCTAACACGCCCCCACATATCTACATCACTATGTGGGAAGATTTGCATAACACCGCCCAAATGTTCACGCAAAGAAAGAAGGTGTAACTTTTATTCTCGCTGTAGTATTGTTGTTGCCGCCGCTGCCATGTCGTGAAGGCGCTGTGTGCTTCGTTGTGAAAGCGAAACTACTTTGTTTGGCCTTCCAAAAGAGGACGATATCCGCTTCGTCATGCCTGGAGCTGATCCGTGCTGGTCGCTGAGGAAATACTTCAACTTTGCGCTGTGGATCACCGGATCGGCTTTCACCGTGGACGAAGCGGAGTCCAGCCCGGGGTCGTCACATGTGGTTGCTACAGGCATCACAATATGGTAAGGGACGTAACATTTCCGTCACACGCTTGAGGAATTCGGCCAATCACAACGCACTGGATAGCTGGCCAATCAGAGCACACCTCGCTTTTTCAGACCGATGAGCTTTGTAAAAATTGACGCGTTTCAGAAAGGCGGGGCATAGAGGAGAAACAATAATGTACAGTATGTGGAAAATAATGTGTTTTTTGAACCTTAAACCGCATAAACATTTCATTACACCAAATACACAAAATAATGTTATTTTTAGCAGCATCATATGACCCCTTTAAAAACCCAACTTACCTACAACTTTGACAGTATTCTTTAGCTGGCTTGCAAGAACTGGCATTTCCTTCAGGAAATGCAAAATTAGCTGTATAAATTGCTCTGTCAGCTTCAGCCATGTGCAACATTAGGGATGTTTTAAACAGCCAGTTTGATGTTTAACAGCACTGCGTGAGGACAAGCTGGGCTTGATTTCTATTTGTATATACAGTATTCTTTGTTTGTACCTGTGAATTCTCTGTGAATGTTCACATTGGTATGCCACTTCTCTTCCAGCTTCATGGGTGGACATGTATGATCTGCAGAGGAAAGGAATATTATGTGTTAATGAAGCAACTGAATTGATTTTTAAAAATGGGTAATGTTTTAGCTTATTCAGTATAGAGAAGACCACAGCTTGTGTCACACTTTTTACTCCACTGAATAAGGGTAGGTTTGTTTTTGAAAATCAATTTTCATATAGTCACGTACCTTAAAGTCTTTACTACAAAAAAGCCATTTCAACAGTTATTGCCCAAGAAAAGTTCACTAAACTTTTTGTCACAAAGGGAATCTGCCATTAAACAGCCTATCCCCTTGATGCATCAAATACTGTTTCCAGGTCCAAGCTTCCACTCCACTTTCAAATGAGAGTAATACTTTGAGACTATTCATTTTAGCACGCCTTTAAGCTAAGCTTTTTTTTTTTTTTTAAATGTGGTGTACGCTACAGTCGCCAGGTTCACAGCATCCTGGACACCAATATTTTATATACATAAAGCATGAATAAATGTTTGTCTAACTAAAATGTTGGTATGGGGATAAAGGTTAGAATCATGATTTTTCAGTAGTACTATAGCACACTGTGAGTGTACTGTATAGAAGAGTTTTTTGTTTGCTTTTGGGATCTGATGAAGCATTTGGACCTGGAAACTGTGACACATAACTTCAAGCGCATAGAGTACAACTGCGCCCATCCAATTTTTTCAGCACATTTGTTCCGGAAATATTCTAAGAAAGTGATGAACCAAACCATCCAGCTACAAGGTGAATCAGAACATTAAACATTTTAATTTGAAGCAAAAAGACAACAGGTATAAGTTTGTGTATGGTTTTAATCAGTGTTCGAACTATACCGTGGACTTTGGGGGAGCCGACTTGTTTTTTTATGGGGGGGTTCATGCGCTTGTTTACAATGGGCTTACAATGACTTACAAAGATACATAACAGCTACAAGTGTATGCACTACTTGCTTTATGCAAGCACTATATAGGATAAATCACTGTACAGGATTTACCCTTTTATACAAATTGATAGGTGAAACAACAAACAGCCACCCACAAATGGTCTATAAACAAAGCATCAGGCTGTCTTTGAGTTCACATGAACAACGGTTAAAGTTACTCGTCGTCAGGCTACAGAAGAATACCATAATTCCTCCGTTCAGTTAGGCCTAAGACATCGAGAGTCACGCAGACCTATAACAACCCAGCCACAACATATAATTGCGAATAACATGCCTTACCTTAACACAGAATCGACAACAGAGTCCAACGTTTATATTTTGGGGCAATATTTTGGGTTAACATGTACTAAACATGAGTGGAATTTGCACCGCAGCGCCCCCACACCTTGATGCTCATGACAAGAATAGCATGTATAGTTATCTTTATTGAAGTGAATTAGGTTTAAATCACCGGCGTCATGCATGAATGAATGATATTTTTTGCAATTTTACACATAATAATCCATGATGATCACATTACACAAAACTGAAATTGCACGTCAAAATAACACATTGTCAATATTTTTTGAGACCCCCCAAAATTTCACAAATCACGTTTTCAGGGGAGCCCATGTCTTATTAAGGGGAGCCGAGCTCCCCCTAGCTACCCTGTAGTTCGCACCCTGGTTTTAATGAGGGAAAGAAATACAATCACCTGAAGCATTGTGAACAACAGTCAGAATACAAACGATAGATAAAACTATAGATTTAAAGATTATGTATATAGAAACAATATATTTGACATTTATTGCAAAACATGCATATTTATATACAAATATTTAAGTAGTTTCAGAGCGTAGAAAGTATTACATAATTTGCATAGCTTTTGGCATGCTAGTTTCAATTCTCTGAGTGGTGGAGCATTTTTGTATTTTTTCACCAGAAATTATGCCGTTATAAATTAACAAAAAATAAGTTAAAACAATACAGGCTGATGGCTTCAGCGAAAGCCTATACCATTAATTAACAACCTTGTAACTCACTAGTTCGGTCTTTAACAGTTTATAAGTTGTAGTTAAAAATCAAATCCCCTATAGAGAAAATTTATAGGATTTTTACTTCCAAAACCCAACTGTTGCACTTTATTATAGTCTTTTCAGCAAAAACTAAATCAGCAATACAATTATGAAAAAGCAAAATGATCAAATTTAACATCCAGAAACATCAAATCATTGTTTTGGTTGACAGATGTAGTAAATTAATAAACTGTATAAAAATTAATTTTAAGGCAAATGTGACAACTTGCCCCAATCTGATATTTAAAACACTTATTTGTTTGCCGTGACAACACAATTCAAAATTTCAGTAAAAATCCACCTCAATTAATAGAAACAACTTTAAACTTATAATATCAAGCAAAAATGACAGAAATTGTTATAACACTGGATGAAAACAAATAATGGTTTTATTTCATAAAAAGCCTACTAGTTACTGAGATCCCAGTGAAACAACAAGCCCCAGTCTCCCCTGCCATGACATTTGCAGCCCGATATTTCTGAAGGATGAATTCTGCTTCATCAACAACAATTATCCCCCCACTAAAAAAAAAGGATGCTCACACAGACACAAATGCAAAAACACACAAACATATCTACATTCACAGCCGAACACCCGCACAGCATTAACAGGAAATTCCAAAAATCAGCACAATCTGCTGGCAAACTGCCGACTCTTAAGGAGATGGGACACATGCTGCAAATCCTCTCTAAATCTCTTCCTGGATGTCACGCTCGCACAGTGGATCACAGGAGATAGCAATTCACTCAGCTGGCAAAAATATTGCTTGCCTGTCCTCTTGTTCAGAGGACTCTCATTCGTGGGCATTTAGACTGTGCAATAATATTCCTTAATCGCCTCAGGTTAATCTGAATGGGGCCAATAAAGCAATTCTATCGGACACATAACACCAGAGCAGATGTGTCCTGGTGCCTTCTGGCCAATGCCACCCAGGTCAAGGGCTTGACGCCATGTCCTCGCGAGCAGGAATTTCAAATAGCTGTGCAAGAGTCCCTGCTTCTTAAAGGAGGGCGCGACGTCTTTCGTCACAAACAATTCATTTGCATACAAGGATTCCAAACAAGAAAGCTAAAACAGAGCGCTAATTAAAGGTGACGACAGCGGCGCTCTGCACCAGAGCAGTGAAGTCACCATTGACCTCTCGCGCGGAGACAAACAAGGCTCGAAAAACCAAACAGATGTAATCACTTCTAATCAAACCTTTTGTAAACGGACAAGAATAAGCAAACATCTTGGTGCGGACCTTTTGGTGACAGCATACATACCTATTCTCTCATTCACTGTCATTCCTGAAGTAAAAGGAATGGAATTTACGATCCACAGGAAAACGGTCCATCTGAGACAGTGAATCATGTCGTCTTTGGCTCATAAGAAAGGGCCCCTTGAAAACCTAGAAATAGAAAACAACGTCACTTTTACAACTCTTTGATGCTCTTCTGGGTAACACAACACCACTTGCTACTGTCTGAATGATGACTGATTGCACTGACTTCACAATTCAGTTACTTTTTAATATGTTTTACTCATAAACAACTGATTTAAACTAACTTTAGCGCCGTCCTATATTCAAGAACACTCAATATCAAATGAAGACGGTCTACTCAATCTAATAGAACATGTAGGAAAATATCATGTTTTGTAAAATCCGTCTAGCGCTTCAATTATGTGGTGAAACATCTTAAAGCAAAATGTCAAGTGTGACATTTCACTCCTCAGAATAAACTCCAGGGCAGAGTAAGTTTCCAGCATGAGGTGCTTCTGGGGACCCAGTGCCAGATTCCTGTAAACCAATATGATCCGTTACCCACCGCTGACTGTTGTTATTGAGCTCTTAAGTAACAGGGCAAACAAATTGCGCTAAATAATTAAACACTAATGCTATGGAGTTTTGAAACACATGCAGTTTTGTAGGCTACAATCATTAGTGCATCTCTGCATATAATCATGTGGTAAATTGGTTTGTTGTGAACTTCAAACTCAAGTTCAAAGTTTGAACTTTCAAATGAACATCAAAAAGTAATATATTAATTTGTTTTTAAGATCTCTAATTAAGGCTAAATAAAAAAATCAGGTTTTGTAAATAGAATATAGTATTGCATGGTTGTTATTACAATGTCAGGTAGTGACTGAACACTTTCCACCCACTTAAAAATTTATTTTGAAGTCAAATCAAAGCAATTTCAACCAGCAGTCATGAGTTCATTGCACTTTTAACCCACTGTTAAAGGCTTTATTGATTAATAAAAGCAAGTTGAAAATCTGAAAACTCATATCAAGCAAAAATTAAATTTTGTTGTACAAACTGATGGAAGCAAATAATGCTATTCTCCAATCACACATGCTAATTCTAATAGTATTATGTGGAATATTTGTACTTTTTAAGCATGACATTTTACTCAAGATTAAGTGTACTTAAAGTGGTCAAAGACAACACTTCGCTTTCTTCATACACATTTAAACTTAAAAACTTGATTATGAAAAGTTAATCTGCACGTTGTCAACTAATCATATCGTAAAAACACAGTTATCTAAATTAAAGAAGCGGTATATAATTTTATCTATGTATTCGATGTGAAGCTAAAACCTGAGTGTTCAATATTTGATATCAGCATATTAATCCATCAATAACAGTGCTAAAACACCTTCAGTAGCTGGTCCCCATTGACTTCCATAGTATGAAAAAAACACTATGAAAGTCAATGGGGACCATAAACTTAAGGTGAACTATCCCTTTAAATATAATATAACCAAAAGCGCTCCTTAAAACTTGACTAGCAATAAACAACAATAAAACACAACATGGCCTCATTAGTGTGCTTAAAAAGCATACCTGCAAATATTTAATTTCTACATTTGCTTACCAAATGTGTCATGTACATAGTCAAGAGCTACTGTTTACTGCAATTTCTCCGATGATAAATCAGCAATGCTAAACATTCAATCTCTCTCTCTCTCTTTCTCAAGTACACGTACGCCGACAGCACAGGACCCACACACAGTGGCGTGTTCAACTCAGATGACAACAAACATGATCATTAAAAAATGACACCGCAACACATACTCTGCAAAAACACCTACAAAGTCACAGCAACCAAGACAGATGAACACCGGCTACTTACATTTGCTGAGAAAGTTTATTATTCCAGCGTAAACACAGCAAAAGCAAATCCTGTTTGGCTAATTAGCGCATTTTAAGCAGCTGTGGGTCCAAAGCACACTTGCAAATAAAAGTGAGAATGAAAGCTCGTGTAGGAACCGTGTCCTTATTTGTCGCACTGCCTGACCCTCCCTCCCACTCATTAGAGCAGCACACATCAGGACGGACAGGACACTCTGAGGGGCTCCCTGTGGAACACGCTACAGTACAGTACACAGGGTACTTGACCAATAGCAGGGGTACTAACTTTTCTTTCAAGTTAGAGGACAAAATATACATATAAAGATAAACTTCATATAAAAAGAAGGAACATGTATTTTGTCTATATATATATATATATATATATATATATGTGTGTGTGTCTATATACTTTAGTAAATATGATATTATTAATAATATGAATATAATATTATAATGTAAATATTAAAATATTATGCTGACTACCTCATTAAATATTTCTCAGGATGGGTAAGTTGATTCATAGCACATACTATTAAAGTCTTAAATTAAAAAATATTTAGCTAGTGAAACCATTTTTGATACACAAAACACAAACATTCCTAAGCCAACAGAAAAATTAGCTGGGGTTTTAGCTGACAAATATTTTAACTAAATGTAAAAACTTTGAGGGGGTTTTGTGTCATATTTGAGTCTTGTCTTTTATTTCTGAAGTGCATATCGTTTTTATTTTGTATATTGCACTGTATAAATAATAAATCTGTAAAATAACTGCTTATTACTGGGGTATTATCCACACATTTCCGTTAACTCTAAAACACAGTGCAGTGCAGTGTAAAATTCAAAATACAGATAAAACACCTGTAAAAAATGAATACAGACAATTCTTCCAAATTACAGTACATTGTGCCCTATTTTTATGGCTATTTTTATTTTATTTTTGCATGCAATGTCTTGTCTGTTCACTTTTTGAATGTGTTTTTTAAATGTTTTTCACTCTATACATGCCACAATTTTTTTAAATACAAATATTATAGAATTATTATTAAATAAACGTAAAATAAAAATGATATGTATTTGAATAAATGATCTTTTGAGAGCATACACAATGCTTGCAACAAATAAATAAATAAAGCATAGGATTTGAGTCTAAATTGATTTTGAAATGCAACTAACACTACAAATCTCCAATATATATACCACAAATCTTCAATATATGGGAGATTTGTTGAGGTATTTGTGCTACGTGTTGCTCAAGATGTGAGTCTCTATAGAGTTATCTATATGTCTACAACATGTTTATTCCTCTAGACGCTTTCATATGAATCTAATACTTTTGAAAGCACTGTTCATTTGAAGCAGGGATTTGCAGCACATTGCGATATCTCACCTGACCATCTGACTCTTCTGACCACCACTTTTGTGTTTACACAAGGCTCTCAACACTGATGAATAATGAGATGCATTTTTAGGATTGTGTTTGTATTGGCCTTATTAGTATGTCTCCACATTACCATGCACCCCTAACCCAGCTGCTTTCAGAACAGCTGTTTCTCAGACAAGGAATCAATGAGACTTCTCAGCTGTGATTCACTTCAGGCTTGCATTTTTGCGACAATAGCATCACAATGTCCCTGTGTTCTTTTGAAGAATACCCCCCGAGAAACAACCACCTTAAGCCTGCTGATGGAAAGTTCAGCACTAGAACAACATGCAGAAAACATGCTGCCCATGCTGACCCAGAATCAAACTTCCCTGAGCAGATGCATCAGTATAAAAGATCAATGTCTGTTGTGCCTGTTCTCCTTGTAAGGATGATG